CACATTGAGGTTGTTTCTGATCTAACAACTTCTTCCTTTTTATTAACTCTCAAAAGGTTCATTTCTCGACGTGGTAACCCAACCGTCATTTACAGTGACAATGCCACATGTTTTTCTGGTGCAAGAAACCAACTCTATGACTTATACAAATTCTTTCAAAATAAGTCAAATTCTCAAACCATTGTGGAATACCTTTCTGAAAATCAAATCTCATGGAAGTTTATTCCCCCTAGATCTCCTCATTGGGCTGGGGTCTGGGAAGCTTCAGTAAAAAGCGCTAAATATCATATGCGTAGACTAATAGGATATCCAGATTCGCCGTGGGGTCCGCCAAGGGTGTATTTTATCACCCTTGTTATTCAATTTATACAGTGAAGCCATCTCAGAATTAGCGCTTGCCGAGATCAGTGAGGGCCTTATAATAAACGGTGAGCCACTTAATAACATAAGATATGCTGACGACACCGTCCTTTTGGCAGGAACACTAGAAGAACTGCAACACCTTGCTGAACAACTAAATATATATTGCAACGATTATGGACTAAAAATCAATTTGAAGAAAACCAAGTTCATGGTATTTACAAAAGCACAAAACATCAAAGTTAAGCTAGTACTAGATAATACAGAAATTGAACAAATATCTTCGTACAAATAGCTTGGAGCATGGATCACAGAAGATACTGATCAGACAAAAGAAATAAGATGCCGCATTGAAATTGCGCGGTCAACTTTTAATAGAATGAGAAAACTTTTTTGTAATCGCGATATCAATATATCGCTCCGGATAAGAATGCTTCGATGTTATATTTTCTCTACCCTTTTGTATGGAGTTGAAGCTTGGACACTTAAAAAATCCAACATTAAAAACCTAGAAGCATTCGAAATGTGGTGTTATCGACGCATTTTGAAAATATCATGGATGGATCGCAAAACAAACGAACAAGTTCTCGAACAACTAGGAAAACAATGCGAAGTTTTAAATTCCATAAAGATCAGGAAATTGGAATACTTGGGGCACATCATGAGAGGTGAAAAGTACGAACTACTAAGGAATATAATGCAGGGTAAAATCAAAGGTAGAAGAAGCGTAGGAAGACGTAAAATCTCGTGGCTACGCAATCTCCGTGAGTGGTTTGGATGCAGTTCAATTGAACTATTCAGGCGAGTAACCAATAAAATTATAATTGCCAGAATGATTTCCAATCTCCGATAGGAGTGGAACTTGAAGAAGAAGAAGACTAATAGGCTCTTCTTCTTTCACTTTCGAACAGTTTTATACTGTCATGGTTCAAATTGAAGCTGTGATGAATTCAAGGCCTATCTGTGCCATGTCCAGCGACCCTTCGGATTACACTTTTCTCAGTCCTGGACACTTTATAATAGGCTCCAGCCTGACTGCGCATCCTGAGCAAAATTTAGAAAATATCCTGGAAAATAAACTATCCATGTTTCAGCAAATTGCAAAGGTACAACAAAGTTTCTGAAAAAAGTGGTCTGTTGACTACTTAAACCGCTTACAAAACTCTCCAAAATGGTCCCGACCAAGGGATAACATAAAAGTCAATGACTTAGTTCTTCTGAGAGAGGACGATGTACCTCCTCTAAAATGGCCTCTAGCGCGGGTGGTTGATACAATGCCCGGTGAAGATGGCAAAGTCAGAGTGGTCAAGTTAAAGACCATCAATGGCCAATTTACAAGGGCAATCACTAAAATTTCAGTTCTCCCTATGCAAGATAAAGAAGAGTAGGTTAGACCACAAGGCTCTAACGCCGGGGGGAATGTTGGAGAACTATATCTCCAAACCAATAATTCTATTTTGTATCAAATAATTCTATTTTCGCGTCGGTTACCTAAATAAATCCAGTCTACCTAGACCTTGTTTCTGAGAATGTTAATCCCCGCCCACAGCGCCTACTTGACGACAGACCGGCTTTTCAAAATGCATAAACAAAAAAATATTCCAGCGGGGCTAGTGATTTAGCGACTTTCGTAGGGCTAACATCTATATTTCAAAAGTTCGGAGAGGATTCTCCACGTTGCAGTTTACGCAATTGACCGGGAAGCCGTAATATGTGAATAAGTGTTATGGTGTTTTCGCTTTCGTTCGCAAATTGTAATATTCAAATTAAGTTCCTACGATAAGTTACACACTCAAATTTTATAAGCTCTATTTCTTGCCCTTTCTTTTTTCAATTACAGTTTCTTTCTAAACAAGTAATTGTTTTATTTCACTATATCAATTCAAAAGGCCAGATAAAAGCAACTTTGAAAGTAAATTTTAGTTTCTCTACTGAGCTGTCGAAGGCTAGCGGACTAATTGGACTTACAGCAAGAACAAAGCCGCTGAAAGAGACACTGTTGCATACAAGCCTCTCCATGGAAGGGATGTTGTAAACCGGCATCCTCCAGTATCTTTCCATTGTATTCTGTGTTCATTGTCTCAGGCATGTTTACATATCTGTGATTTGTAGAAGTCCCTGTTTTTGATGTATGTGTCATGCTTGTTTATCCTGACACTTAGTGGTATTGCAGTTTCTGCCACATAGAAATTGTTGCATTCACAGGATATTTTATAGATTCTTTGATCTATCATGTGTGTTGTTAGGTTTGGTTTTGGACGGGATATATTTGAGTGTATTGGTTGTTTTAAATGTTGTTGTGATGTACTTATTACCTATTTTTTAAAATTTTTCTCATAAGCCCTTTACATATGGTATTCTTGTTATCCTCGAGTCCCTTCTTGTGAGTGTTACTGGATTGCTTGTGGTGTTTTGTTGTTTTCTTTTTTCTATCTTGTGGAATTCCTTGTTTATAAATGACAATGGGTAGTAATTTTTTGGTAAAACTTGTGTTAGCAAGTTTTTTCTTCTTAAAATGCCTTTTCATTAGAGCAGGTGTTTTTGGATCTATCATAAATATAATGATTTGGTGATTCCTTTTTAACAAAATAATTAAATCTTTTTTTTTTTGAGAACAATTGAACAGTTTCTGGAGTGGAAATCGAAACATCAAATTTTTGTAGCTAAAAATGAAATTATCATTACAGTCAATTATGGCTTAATACCATATAAACACCTTGAATAAATTCACTAGCTTTTACCTAGACTACAGAGTCTTTGACTCTAATTGAGATCCTAATTTGTTTATAAGTGAAAAATGACATAAAATTTATTATGTCATACACTATTTTAACTAAATTTACTAAGAATAACTCATATATTCTGTATCAATGAGTGTCTTCGGAAAATTTCAATTTCCCCAATTCTCCCATAATTTTATCTGTCAATGGTGAATTATTTTTTTACATTAGAAGCCTGGTCTTCATGTTCAGGTAAAATGTGAAACTGACCAGACCACTCAAACAGTGACTATAAAGCAACAAGGGTCATTCTAGATTATTCCATAATTATCAAAAATGTATGCAAAGAATATATCGTATATGAATTAAAAGCTAATGGCAGTAAAATGATATAAATTTTATATGAAAGAATTGTATAAATAATAACAAATGAAGCAATTGCATTTAACGGGGTGTATTAACACTTTCACCGCCATGAGAAATATAACGTGATGCACGGGTAATATCACTTTACAGCAGCGAGAATCAAATATTGATTCTCACTCATCACAAATTATAAAAAATGTATCGTTAATGTAGTATAAAAGTAGACGGCTGTAAGCAACGGAAACTATATTTGGCCTCTGAAATATGTGAAACAATGTTTGATTCTCACAGCCTGAAAAGTAGGTGACTGATAAAAACTGTATACTCAAGTCAACTATTATTTATTTATTTTTTAACGAAAACTATCATTTCCATACATTGTTATTTTAATAAGAAATTAACAAAAACTTTATTTTGTACATTTGTATATTTAAAAAAAAAGAAGAACTCAAATAATAATGCTTATTACATTGCGTACAAAGATATCTCGACTCAGGTGTTTTCAAGTCAGCGTTTTTTGTTCAGTTTTAGTAATCGTTTCATAACAAATAACACACCGACGATTATTGGAACCTACATGTTTCAACAAATGACTGTCGTTAGGATTAGGGTTTTGTTGAATGGACTTACTCGTACTAGGCTTACTACGAGGTTTCCATTTGCATTTTGTCATAGTCATTTACCCATTTGATACTTTTTGGTGTAAAATATAGGATTTTACTAACCTAGTACCCACAAGCAGTTCAATTGCTAAGTTCCTATACCACTTTATTTCCGCTCTCAATGTGTATTTCAATTTTCATTTAATGTTAAATAACCGAAATATTTTCTCAATCCTTTTGCGTCGTTGGGATTGATAATATACACATTTTATGTTTATTTATATAACACAGATGCGTATTTCCTTGGTATTTCTTTGATCGTGATACCGCTTAATATTGCGCGTCAAATAAACATCTACTTAGATTGCTGAGAAAATTATGCGGGAAGGCGAATGATTTTTAAGAATGATGTTACTCGACGATAAGCCGCGGAAGTAGTTAGTTATTGTTCGAGTCCGGATTTTTCTTCAAATTCGTTATTGTGTTCTTCGTTGTTCCTTTTTGTTATGGGAAAATGTGAAGGTAGTGTATCTGGCCTGAACCCTCGGAAATGAGGGAAGGTGGTCCAGTCGCACTATCCATAGCTGAAATGGACCGGAACAGGTATGGTCACGGTCCGTGACCATATAGGCCGTATACGCCCACAAGCTAGGGGGAAATACCTTTTACAAATGCAAATAAATGTTAACTAAAACTAAGAATCTGCAATAAAAGTGTTAATTAGTCTTAGAACTAAAAATCTGTGAGGTAAAGTTATTAGTTATCACACCTAAGACTAATTAACCAAAAAAAGTAAAAATGAAAAAAAGTGACAATTTTTCCAACTCTAAATTACTATAGAGGGAAAATATTTACGGCCGGAAGAACACTCTTTTTTTCATTTTGGTGGCAGTCTTAGTGTTGTACTATGTATAGTTTATTGGTTTTATAAATTAACTGTTTAATATTTTAGGCCAGAATTGTTTCAAACAAGGAATCCTTAAGAAAAGGAATATGGATGAAAATGCTGTATAGTTCTGCTCAGACTCTACCCCTTTATGTTGGAAAAATTGGAGAAAAACCACCACCGCTATGTGGAGCCATACCAGCTGATCCAAATTATATTGCCAAAGTAATCTTTTATAGAACTTGTATAGAGTAGGGATAAAAATAGCTGTTATAAGTAACATTTCATATTGTTTGTTTTTTCAACTTTTGTTTTGAATTTCTTTTGATTAATATTGTTTTATATTTTAAAATTTAATTGCATAGCTAAGTTGATCAGTAGTATTTCAAATAACCATGTAGTTTCTAAACTAACCTAATAGTTAACAATTGTAGGTAGGTGATATGGTGGCTGCGTTGGCAAAGCATGCCACAGAAGGCGAGAATTGGATATTAGCCGAAGTTGTCTGTTACAATCACAGTACAAGCAAGTATGAAGTGGATGATATTCTTAAAGAGCAAAATCAAAAGGGCCGTCATACATTAAGTAGGCGTAGGGTTATACCATTACCTTTAATGAGGGCAAATCCAGAGACTGATCCACAGGCTCTGTTTCCTCAGGGTACTTTAGGTGAGTTTTGGGTCATTACATAGTGTACATAATGTACAGTTGTGTCCATGACAAAGGCTACTGCTACGATCACAGATTATATTATAAAATTTGACATTATCAAATAAATATAATCTAAAATGTTAGTTTTGCTTTATAATTTTGATGCAGAATTATAGCTACATTTGAAGTAGCTTAATAAACTCTTTTAATATCATCAGTAATAAATACATAAATACATAAATACATAAATACATAAATACATAAATACATAAATACATAAATACATAAATACATAAATACATAAATACATAAATACATAAATACATAAATACATAAATACATAAATACATAAATACATAAATACATAAATACATAAATACATAAATACATAAATACATAAATACATAAATACATAAATACATAAATACATAAATACATAAATACATAAATACATAAATACATAAATACATAAATACATAAATACATAAATACATAAATACATAAATACATAAATACATAAATACATAAATACATAAATACATAAATACATAAATACATAAATACATAAATACATAAATACATAAATACATAAATACATAAATACATAAAAACATATACAATAATATTTACAGTTTGTTGATGTTACAGGTAACAGTGAAATTATTTAAATAATGAAACATCATTCAGCTCAAATAATATTTTTGCAAGATTTTGAACATGTTTTTCGTTTCTCATATTTCATTCACCTTCGGAATCTGAACTGTTATCTCAATTGTTAATTATTACAGGTTCGATATTAATATTACACATATTTCCTTCTCTACTAAACCATTGTTCAATTAATTTGTTAGTACATTCTACACACTTTGCCTATCAATTATCATCTTCAATTATCTTCAATTATCATCTTCCATCATTTCAAAATATTTTTCTTCTTAATAACATTTATAAATAGGTAAAATATTCTTCCTTCTTTATTGCTTTCTTGTGTATTCTTCTTTCTAATAATCTTTTTTTTTCAATCTTCAATCTCCATATAAATAATATAATTTTTAATCTTGACCTTTTACTCCTATAGTCTTCTATACTAGATTACTGTGAGAATACTCTCCAATACCACAATACTATAATACTACTACTTTTTTAATATTAAATACTTAATACTTAATACTCTTTCAATACTTAATCTCGAATACTGAATACTATATGCTCCAAATCACCGCGTATTTATATCTATTACAATGTTCACGAATATTTTCTAAAGAAAATAGGTTCGAATTCTTCTATTTCATAGATATTTCAATGTTCGCGAATATTCTCCTACGAAAAGAGGTTATATTCTTTCTATTGACGTCTTATTTTAAACTTCTAGATAATTCTTCACTTTTCTATTGAGAATTTTATGGAAATTTAGGCTTTTCAGATCAGAATGTAAACTTCTATATAAATTAAACATCTTAAATTAGTAAATAACAATATTTTAATCCATAATTATTATTTCAAATGTCCCCTATCACTCTTATTCACAAAAATCTCAACAACCAAACTTACTTCAGTGTATCTTTAGTTGACTATATAGATGGCATTAACATATCTATTTATAATTTCATAACTATTAAAATAAGCAAGTACATTGCAAAATAAATACTTTTTAAACAAACTATTATGCTAATTTCTTAAGGATGCCCTCATATAGATACTTTTTATAATATTCTCTAGTATATAACTTATAAATTACTTTAAGTTCACTCTAGGTCTCTAAACATTCTGATTACCTTCGTTTCTCCTATATTTATAAGTTTATAAGTTAAATAGTAAACTCTTAAATATTGGGGAAATCTGCAAGAAAACTCTAATGTGTATCAATTATTTCACCTAACGTTTTCGCCAAAGAGAATTAATTTGGCTTCTTCAGGGCTGAAAGAGAATAAATTATAATTAGCTACCATATATTATCTAATAAAAAACATTTACCTTACCGTAAATTTTAGAAATGTCGAGTTATGATGTTAAAAAACTTTAGCTAGTAACAACATAATGGTGTTTTTTTGTTACTATGTGCAAAAAAGTTTATTTGTTAACGTTGGAAATGTATGGTAGCTTTGAACTTAAAACGCAAAGGTTTACCCAAGGTTAATCGAAAAACCCAATGTAACTACATTTAAAGTAAGTAATTCTTTGAATTGTCGGCAATAACTAAATTTTTGATTGTTGTAAAGTTTGAATGTGAGCTTCTGTTTTCATAGAGCGCAAGCGCCGAACAATTACAAGTAGTGAGTTTGAATATCTATGTCGTTAAGGTTCATTGGTAAAACCGATGAAGTTAGATCCCAGTCTGGGGAGATATTAGTTTAGAATTTTCTTAATTGAAATTCTTTTTTTTTTAATTCGTATATTGTTCATTTATTATTATAATAATATCTTATTGAGATGTATCTAAGAAAAGCAAGGGAATGTTATCTTTTTTAGTTAATGAAAATGATTATTAAAGTAGGTTAGTTGTTAGTAGATATATCAGTCAAGTTAGTTATCTGTGATGTTGTATTGTTCTTGGTTTTTGATTTAAGTAAGAAGTGGTATATATCGCTTAGATTCTTAATGTCATTCTTAACATTGATGGAAAAATCGTTAAGGTATAAGACATTTCAATGAACTCTCTTTTAGATTTATTGTTCTCACGGTGGAGAATGGTAGTGTTCGTATAGTCCATGTGATCCATTTCTTATTAAGATATTGTTAGTTTGACAAAAGTTAATATCTCCCATATTTTTTTACACATGGTTCCGCTACAAAGAAAAATGAAAACCGCTCATCTTGGTCATATATAATCTACTAAAAACAAAACTTTTTAATTTTATAGTTATTACCGTTACTTCTGGAAAAATATATCTCTATAACATCTCTAACAAAACGATAAACTGCAGAATTAAAATTTTTGTAATGTGTCTGTATCTATTTATTTCAGTAATGGCGCTGTTTCCTCAAACTACTTGCTTTTATCAGGCTTTGGTAAACAAACCACCCTCTACCCATATGGACGAGTACGAATTGTTGTTTGAAGATCCTAACTATACAGAAGGATATAGTCCACCTCATTCTGTTGTTCAGCGGTACGTTATTGCCTGTAAACAGAAGAACAAACAGGTGGGTCAAGGTACTAGTTGACAGTACGCCTCGGACAGTGGCATGTCTGACAATGATGAGATGATGGAAGCCAGTGTCATAGCAAACTGAGTAAAAAGAATGTAAAACGAATTCGATCGCGTTGTACAATGCTTGATTGTAATATAAACTATGCTTTATTAGATACTACTATTGTGCGACAATATACTTCTAATATATAATAATTTACATAATAATATGTAACTTAATGGTATATGGATACAAATTATATTTTAACATTCACCTTTTAATATATTCAAGTTCTTAAACTTGTCTATGTAATTATCAGTATGAACGTCTACATCTTTTCAATGTACATAATATATGACTTCATTTACGCCTGTTTCTCTGTTCATTCTAAGAGTAAAGCTATTTCATTGCGGATTTCATATTTTCGGTTTGTTTTTCTATTTACATTATATTAAATTTGCAAGTTTTCGTACAAAAAACATTATCAACAATTTCACTTGTATATAAGGCTGGATCTCGGCATAGTTTTTTAGATTTGTAGAGTCTTCTTTTTGTTCTTCTGCATATTTCTCTTTATTTCTCAATGTTGTTAGATCATCTGATGTATTGCTTTTTAATTCTCAATTGTACATTAAATAACTTTTAATATTATAGATAGTACGATGAGTGTATGTAAGTAGTATCCTCAGGAACATTTAATTATACAATGTAATTGAGAACAAGACTTTTATATCACAGCTAAGAACTATAATATACTATAGTCTCAGAATTGTAAATATGTTAAAATCACATTATTAATGATTACTATGCGGAGAAATAGTCATAGAATAACCGATTGTATTCGTTAAGGTATCTAATAAAATAGTCATAGAATAACCGATTGTATTCGTTAAGGTATCTAATAAATATATTCAATAAAATCAATATTTTTATTAAAAATTCTGTCTGTAAAAGCTAGAAAATCGTAAACAATAGGTCAACGTTTCTGTAAGGTAGAGACAAATATATCATTCATTGCTACATTATCGTTCAGGCCTTTGGAGTGAACTTTAAATATTGAGGTTTGTCTAGGTTTTTAAAAAGAGTAAAGCACATTGGAGTTCAAAGAAAACTCGGTATCAACAACTACCGAGATCATTAGTATTCACGTTGATAATTATCGATTGAACTGAAACATCGACTCTAGTTTGTAGGTCTCATATTGTTATCTTCTGTTATAGAGTGTTTTATGCAATTTTTCATGATTTATGCATCACATTTTTTATCTTAGTAACTAACAACTCATCTATAGAAGCCAAGTTTTCTCTTGAGACTTGTTTTTTTAGCTGGTCCGTATGAGCTCAATATAGTTCGCACAGCATTTCTTGAATTCGGTATATGCACTTTCAAAATGTTACGTCGAATGATACATTTCTTTGAGGGAGCCAGTTGGTGATGTCCACCCTTTCACCAGGCAGTTATTGGTGACTGCCAGAATCGTCGACTCTTTCTCCATAATGATGACAGAATTAGGTTCAAGATTGGACCTAAAGGTCGATCCTTGAAAACCTACCATGGTCGTTTTGTGCGTACTTTTCTTGAAATTTTTGCCCACTGGCGGTTTTAAGCTCGTTGAAAAGCATAAGTTTCATTTAAATAGTAAATTTATATATTATATAAGGTTCTTGAACTCCTAAGTAGAGCATAGAGCTTCAGTGAAAACGCGCCGTCGGGTTCTATTTTGCGCTAAGGCCTTTACCTCATTCCAAGACTTTCCTTGACCGCTTATCTCGTCCATGATGGAACTTCTCCAAGTTCGTTTTGGGCGACCTCTTTTTATTCCTTAGGGATTCCACTCTAGGGCAATCTTTGCAATACTGGAATTATTTTTTCTGAGTGTGTGACGTATCCAATCCCACTTTCTGGACTTTATTTGATGTTCGACCCTTTTTTGTTCGGTCAGGTGTAGTAGATCTTCGTTTCTAATGATGTTAGGCCAGAAAATGCGAACAATTCGTCGTAGGCATGTATTAATAAAGACCTGCAGTTTATCTGTAAGAGTGTTTGTCACTTTCCAGGTTTCACATCCGTAAAGTGGAACAGACATGACATTTCACTGGAATATGCGGATCGTTGACCTTGTAGTATACTCGCCAGATCTCCAAACAGGGTTGAGCATGCTGAATGCTTGTTGAGCTTATCGTATCTTCATACGAATATCGTTCTCTGTACCTGCGCTTTCTGTTATGACACTTTCAAGATACGTAAAGTTTTCCACATTTTCAATCTGCATGTTGATAGTAAATAACGTGTTGTTTCTTGCATTTGCTCTCATGGATTTGGTTTTACTAATACTGATTTTCAAATCTACTATATTGGTTTCATTGGAAACACAATAGTGTTTCCAATTGATCAGCCACATCTTGGAAACTTTGTCCTAACGGGCAGATATCGTCGGCCTATTCCAGATCGCTTTCACGATGATATTCTTGGATATTTTGCAACACACCATCATTTCTTTATCATACCATCATATTTTCCAGAAAATTCTTTTATTTTATTCGATATAGTCCGAATAAATACAATTATGAAAGCTCCGCAAAATAAGCGACAGTTTCGTCAATTATTTATTCATTAGTGCTGAATTTTTTTATTAACGACTTTTTTATTAGTTCCCAAGTCTAAGAATTCAGATTTGGGAACATAGAGAGCTAGAGAGTAGATCAGGAGAATAATCCGGATGGCAAAGCAATTTGAAACCTAACTCGTGAATTGTTGCCATTGTCATAACGCTCTTGTGAGCGTGTCTTGGAAAAACAACACTTTTTTCTTCTGTATATTGGACCATTTCTTACTGAATTATTCCTTCTTCAATTTGTCCAATAATGCACAATAATATTGGCTATTAATAGTTCTATCATTTTCAAGATAGTCACTTAAAATTATTCCTTCGCAATCCAAAAATAAACCTTCTGGCCCATTAAGCCACTCTTGGTCACTAAAAGAAAATTTTGAAAAACAAAACTTCATCTCTTCCTAGATTTCAGGTTTTCCTTTTAGGGGTGAAAGAAGGTATGCACATTTCGACTACTATCTTCCAATGTAATGAGTGATTAGTTGACTGATGATTTCGATGTTTTTGGAGTTTTGTTGTTGATATATTGCCGTTCAAGACGTCGACGATGAAGTCAATATCTATGAATAAAATCGTTGTTTCACAACTTTGGTATTTGTAATAATACTCTCGGAAATAATTGAGGTTAGAAAATTGATTTCCATATATTCGATAACATTGTTTTGAAGGATTATTTTAGAACAGTTTTGAAAAGGACGAAATTGCACGATTCTAATACGGTTCTAGACTAATGTTAATACAGTATACTCCCTCTATAACGAACACGGTTATTACGAGGTTTCGCTTATAACGAGATACGTTAGATGTCCCGTGAAATTTCTGTTGATCTATAACCCTCCATTGCGAGGCAAATTTGGTTATAACGAGAGAAAATAAGATCGAAAAACGTGTTTTTTACCTTTTTAACTGCCTCGCAATAAACTTCTTTACAATAAATACAACTGTTTCACATCTTTAGAAAATAGATAGATATAATGATACTGGACAATTTAAAGCAGTCAAATATTACACACTTCTTCCAATTGCAGAAGCAATGGTTTATATTATCCTTCAAAATACGCTTTATACATTATGTAGTAGGAAAAAAATGTAAGTACAGATTTTTGTTTTAACGTATTTCATGGACAATAAAAGTAAACAACTTTTTTTCTCAAAAAAAAACATTCAAACCATATTTATTAGCATCTTATATTGCTCCGGATGGCTTCACTATAGAAAGTTAATGTTTTAGAAAACTACATATTCATATGTATGCACAGTATTATTGTTGTCTGATATAACGAGGTAATTAGTCTGCCATTTCAGTTCTCGTTATAGAGGGAATCTACTGTATACTCCATTCCACGAATTTACGACTGTTTTAAATTCGCTTTAAGGTGTCGATTTAAATGGTCTAAACAATAGTAAATTCTCTCCATTTTTAAAGTATTGTTACGACAGATAAACCTTAGATTTAAATATAAAGTCATGATATAAATATAAAGTTAATAGTTTATAGAACAGTTGTAATTCAGATTTTGAAGTATATAATTACTATCATGGAGTTTAGTATTGTTAACAAGTTTTTGAATTATGTGATTTAAACGAAATGGAACAACACTTAAGTGATCAAATAGTGTAATTTTTTAGTCGAATATTCAATTAGTATTAAAAAAAAAACAAAAAAACTTACATATTCACTTATTCTCTTAATCTTCTAAAACTATGATCAACGATCAGATTCACAGCCATAATCAGTCGGCGATATATGAAACTGTATATAAATTTTCGTTACTTTTTAATATCTGTAACGACTCCGTACTTTAACTATCAATAGCCGGTATGTTATACCCGTTACTTTCGGAACTTTTAAGAGTACATAAACTCAAAGCAAACAAATATTTAAAACTCACAAAGTGAAATATTAGATTCTTTTTCTGGTTTCTGAACCATCGTTCTGCCAATTTCTTTTCATTTATATTAAAAATAGTATATTTCTTTTTATTACAGTTGTAATACTAAATAAATAATACTCTAATAAATAAGTAATACTCTAAGTAATAGTCATAAAATAGTGTAATATCAAAGAAACCCAGCACGCCTCTTTGGTGTTTACATTTCACGGAAAGCTTACCCAAATGTGTGATGAACACATTTGGCTTCATAGACGTCATTGTATTTATTTGTAGATTTTAACTGAAATAATTTTAGTTTAGATGTCATACTAGTAGACCCTTTTTATTGGAATAATGATTGGACCAATTTACCTTCATACTTCTACTTGCACAGTAAAATATTCGTTGTCGCAGTAAACCAAAACAGTCATATATTCGTGGAATAGCCTATATATCAAACTTGAATAAACACTTGAGATGTTATCAATTTAAAGCTTTTTCTGTACATATATTGTAGTGCTAACATAATATTTTGTAAAAACTATAGTTTTCACAAGGGAGAAATCATTAAAAACATTTTGTAATTACGATACAATATTTTCGTTTATATATTTCGTTTCGTTCGCCTTTTAAGCTTTTTTTGTCTTTTTACTCAGTTTCAGAATGGTGTGCTAAATAAAAAATTACTTATGTATCTAGTGTGTGATGGTATGTTAATTAAAATTTACTTAATATGTGTTTAATAAAGATATTTTCAATATATTATTTTTTATTCCTTTCTATTCAAGTTTATAGTCTAATAGCTAGGGGGGATGAGTATGCACTTCTGTATCCCCTCGGTACCTTGACTTTTTATGGTTTTGGGTGCGTAGATTCGGTTTTTCGAATGTGCTATTTTGAAAACCCGTCAGATAATTGGTTATGAACAATTTAATTGTTTAAATCATTGATCCATTAAACTATTAGAGATATTTAAATTTATCCAAATGAAAATTATTTCTTTTGAAAAAATTAACAAAATGGCGTTCGGTAAACTCTGATCCCTTAGTTAGAACCGGAGTTATAACATATTTTTTGAGAACTAATTGCAAAATCGATAAGGCTTTTCAAAGTATAACTCAGCTTTCATACGTGCGAATAACTTTCAAAACCCCTCATTGTAAAGGTAATTGTTTTAGCAAAAATTACTTTATCTTTATTATTAAAAAGGTTATATTAACAATTAAACATTAAAGATTTCACC